TTTTTCGCCCCATTTTTTGTGTTTAAAAAAGGAAAAAAAAAAAAAAAAAAAAAAAAGGAAAATAAAAAGGAGAAGGGAAAGAAGAAAAAGGGGAATTTTCGGTGCTCTGGATTGTCCCGGGGTCCCCGAAGTGACTCCCTGCCAAAGGGGCTGGCTCCCGTAGCATCTCCCAGAGGGTTTGTTGGTACTCGGGAAGGACTCGCCCGTGGATTGGCGGCTGCTGTAGCCATGGTGATGGAGGAGCGAGCTGAGACAGCGCAGAAATGTCACTGCCTGGCAGGGAGAGACTTGGGGCCAAGGCGCAGGCGATTAGATCTGTGTCTGCGGCTGCTGCCCGGCTCCTCGCACAGCTCCTGCGCTGCTCTCCCAGCCGCTTGGTGCTGCCTTGGCAGGGGAGGTTATCTTGTACAAGCTGCTGTCCAGAAACTGTCAGCGTTTGAAGGTGGGGGGATGTTTGTGCTGCTCGGTTTGACCTGGCTAAGCTGAGAACTGGAAGAATTTTTTCCTGGTTGCTGCTGTATTAGGGCTTCACGGTGCACTGGTGCTGCGAGACCATCCCTCAAAAGCTTTGGCCCTTCAAATTGCAAACCTGGTTTAAGCATGATTCTTAATAGGAAGAGATTTTAAAGTGTTTGTTTGTCTCTGCCTTCCTCAATTACTGTCATAGCTGCCTGGAATAACAATCCATTTTTTTGCATCAGAAATGGCAGCAGTTTCTCCTCTCTTCCCCAAGCAGATTATCAAGAGCAGCATCCCTGGATGCTGGAAGTGGCTGGGGTTTGGCCATTCATAACAATCCAGCAATCAGAAGGGCTCTTGGAAGCCAAATGGGCACCTTTGCTCATGGCAGTGGATAGGGTGATGGCCCCAAAACACAGGGCACTGTACAGGCCACGGGGTGGGCAGCAGCTGGGGGACCTAACCCCCCATTCCCAAACCAGAAGATGCTGCAGTGACACTTTGAAGTGCCACCACCAAGGAGACTGAGATGGGTCTTTGTGGCCAAGCACACCAGAAGCTCGTTTCTTGGACCACCTGCCAGAGAGCAGATGAACAGAGCTTCAAGGTGGTTTGTCTCCTCCCAGATTGGTGGTTGAAATGTCTGACAAAGAGGATTTCTCAGCAATAAAAATGTATTTTTAAACCACTGCTCTCTGAAGGCCTTGCTGTGCTGGAGCTGGGAGTAGGACAGCAGGAGTCTGACCTTTCTGACCCAAGTCCGCCGGGGTGCCAGGGTGCTGGCACTGCCATCTGCACAACCTGCATCATCCAGTCTCCTGTGGGTGAGAAGGGGGAGGGCTGGGACAAGAGGAACTTGGTCTGCCTTGCAAAATAAACACAAGCTGCACCTTGCTGCTTGATCTCAGCATCCCTGTTCCTTTTGGTACCCAGATAGCCAAGACAGAGCTCTGGATCCAGCCTGAGGAGAATTTTGTTTCTCAAACTGAGGATGCAGCAGGCAGCAGAGATAGGGAGCAGGAGGGCTGCAGCAGTTCAGTCAGACAGGGACATGCTCAGGATTGACTGCTCTGGCCATCAGCAGAGAGCTGCCCAGGCAGACAGACAGACAGACATGGTTTGGATACGTTGGTGCCTGCAGCGATTCTGGTGATGCCAGTGCTGTGTGTGAAAGCTGCACAGCCTTGTCTGTCACTGTGCCGTGACACATATGTAGGCCTTTGTGCCTCTGTTTCCCCTGATGCCCACTGAGTGCCCAGGCCCTCGCAGTGACAAACTTCCCCTGGGCCTTGGGTAATGCCACAGACACACTGGGGACTCTGACAGAGCAGTGGCTGCACCTCTGAGGGTGGTGACAGGAATGTCCCCAGGGATAGGACACATCATCTGCCTTGCTGGGCCCGGCTGTGCTGCCTGCCGAGCCCAGGGTGTTTTACCAGGGACCAGGGAGGACTTTTTCTGGGTCTCCCACTGCCATCTACTGATCCATTTCACACCCCAGACCTGCAGCTCATCCAGATGGTCCACCTGGACTGGTGCTGGGGAAAGGCTCCCTGTACCCCACAACAAGCCAAATTCCAGGGCCAGTGCTCACCTACACCCCTTGGGCAGGACACTCTTGACCTGAGCAGTCAGTTCTCAGCCCCTGCAGGACAGGGTTGGAGGCAGGGTCACATCTCTTCTTGTTTTATTTTGCAAGCTGTCTTTATTATTACCACCAGCACTCTTGTGTGTGGTGTGTATTTCTATTTTGCTTTGTTTGACCATGGATCATTTAAATTGTTTCCTTACCCTTGAAACTCCTGGAGTCAAAGGTGAGGTGATGGATGGTGTGGGATATGTGGAAACAGGCTCAACAGGATGCAATGTGGCTTGAGAAAACAGACAGCACTGCACCCTTGGGTGCAGCCTTGCCTCTGGCCTGCTGGGACTCCTCCTGTACCCTGCTGGGCCCCCAAACGCAAAGGAAGCCAAAGCCATGCTTGGGGACCATCTCCACAAGGCTTTATTCTCATTTCAGAGAGGACAACAATGCTGAGCACACGCTGTTTCCAGCGGTTTTGGAATTGCTTCCTCAGGTTAGCTGGTGGCATTTTCTGTGCTGGCTCCTGAGCACCCTCAGCTCAAGGAAGTTCAGAGCTGGGGCAGAAAAGAACCACAGGCATTCATCTCCATAATGGTGGGCACAGTGCCACCCAGAGCAGGAATCTCTGGGAGGGTGGTGCGTGGGGATGCAGTGAGGCTGCCAGGAGGAGCCCTCCTGGCCCAGCACACCCAGGCTGCAGGCAGGGCAGGGACTGTGCTGGGACAGAACCCAGGCTTTAGGCAGCTGTGCAAACCATGTCAAACCCACTGTCAAACCCAAGTGGGGAACTGACAATGGGACAAACCCACAGGCAAGTGACAGAGGTACTGCCAGGGAGCGTATGAGGGCAGGTGGGAGATGAGGAGATGAGCAGGACATGGAGGATGCCCGTGGAGGTGAAGGATGAGCCACAGCCAAGCTGTGGAACCCCCTTAGCAGTGCTGCTCCCCCTGCAAGGAGGGGAACTGGACCTGCTGGGTTTGGTGTTTGTGGGCTCAGCAAGCCCCTCTGGACAACAGTGGGACAGGGGTTAATGTGGGAGAGGTCCAGTGTGGCCACTGTGGGTCTGTTTGGTGATCCCCTCATAAACCTCTGGGTGGAGCGTCGCACTGTATTAGGAACAGAGAGAAACACGACGCTGACTCCCTTAGCTTCATTGTCCAAGAGACCAAAGTTTATTATTCTTAATCATCTTTTATACACATGTTTGAGAAGGTCTGAGAGGTAAACTCTCATTGGTCATTAAAGCAACACATCATCATCACTGGTTAAGTGGATCACCATCCCTTGACTGTTTTCCTAAACACCACCTGCAGATTGTTGTCCTTTACCAAGGACTGTTTGGATTCTTTCTTTTGCTTCCTCAGGCCAGAGTGAGAAGCCTGTGTGACTTAGTTTCACACAGGCCCTGTTCCCTGCCTGCTTTTTGCATTTAGTATCCACAGTGGAGGGTGTCTCTTAGGGGGGGGGGGGGG